GGTATTTTTTCCATAGAGAGGAATTTAAGAACTGGGCAAAATATGGTAGCTATTTATCTGTCAGAGGCCATGCTGTGACGTTATATGAAGCTCACAAGCTCTTTTTCAGGGGAAAAGATAATGCACTGCATTTATCGGGAATACAGTAGAAAAACAGTATATGCTTCAGAAAGACAAGCTGACCTCCTGCCCCAACCAACACAATAACTCTACATTGAGCTGCATCAGCTCTTAATCGATCACCATTTTAACATCTGTCTGGAAGTCATTCTTCCTTGCCATCTGACGTCAGTATGTTGGCACCTCCTTCCCAGAGTTAGGTCAAGATCGTCTTGTTTGCAAAGGTCACTTGCTCCTTAACACTCCCATATGCCCTCCGCCGGTCTGCTTTGTACTGGGCCTTAATTTATGGTACCTTGATGCCTCCAAATCTTCCAGTCGCCTCCCTCCTCCTTCCACCATCTGGACTCTGAAACTGCTGGGCCTAAAGTTCACCTGCCCCCCAAATCACACACACAATCAGGACTCTGAAACTGCTGGGCCTATAAATTATTTCTCCAAATACTCACATTCCAAACTCTCTCACTCCCCCTCCCCAGGAGCAATCCAATCTTTTCACACATGGGAAAAGGGATACCATTGTCCCTACAAAAGCTATCCATCTATTTCCCAAAGCAAAATGTCTGCGGATATTTTTAATTCACTCATTATATTTCCTTTATAACAAACTCGATATTCTAATTACTCCGAAGAGCAACAGTGCGAACATGTTGAATCACAAGGATCCTGTAGATCTCTTTCTCTCTTGACAACAGATACCGACATGGAGGCTGCGTCTAGACTGGCGCGATCTTGCGCAAACGCTTTTAACGGAAACGTTTTTCCGTTAAAAGCATTTGCGCAAGAGAGCATCTTTACTCGTAGATGCCTTTGCGTAAAAGCTGTGCTTTTGCGCAATAGCATCCCGTGCCAGTATAGATGCTCTCTTGCGCAAGAAAGCCCCGATCGCCATTTTGCACATTGGGGCTTTCTTTCACAAGAGCTGGCTACACTGGCCTCTTGCGCAAGAACCCTTGTGCAAGAGGCTCTTATCCCTGAGCGGGAGCATCACGGTTTCTTGCGCAAGGACACTGATGATCTTACATGAGATCGTCAGTGTTCTAGCGCAAGAACTTGCGGCCAGTTTAGACAGCTGGCAAGATGCCAGCAAAATCTGGCCAGTCTAGATGTAGCCAATCAGTTTGGCCGATGTATCTTTATTAAGGGCCTAGAAGCCTGTTCCTCCCTATTAACCGGAGAAGGGCGGCCAGCAGAGTTAGGGTTGTTTAACATTTATCCTCACACCACCCATTAAGCACATCACAAAAAACATTATAGAACTCTGTGGTCTACAATATGTGCATGCATAAATAAAGCCATCAGTATGGAGAGGTGGGTGGATGGATGGATGGAAGGACAGATGTGTCTGGGGATGGATGGATGGATGGAGGGATGGATGGATGGATGGATGGATGGATGGGCGGGTGCGCAGGTGGGTGTATGGATGGATGGGCGATATATCTGGGATGGATGGATGGATGGATGGATGGATGGATGGATGGATGGATGTGTCTGGGGATGGATGGACGGATGGATGGGGTGGGCAAAGAGGGTTGGATTGATGGATGGATGGATGGATGGACACGTAGGTCTTCAATGGATAGATGGATGGATGGATGGATGAAGGCTTGTATATTGGATTGTGACAAGGGGACTGGACTCGATGATTCGAGGTCCCTTCCAGTCCTAGTATTCTATGATTCTATGATTAGGGCAAGGATTTTATAGTATATATATATAGGGATGGAAATATACATGGTACACGTGCCAACAATAGGGTCAGAGGGACACTGCCTCACCACCTGATCTTTCCAGGGGTTCATCAGCCCCCCATCTCCATCCCTAGACTTGTGCTAGGTGTTTGAAAGCTAGTGTCAAATTCCCGGTAGAATGGCAGAGGAACAGATTGGGAAAGCCTGAATCGCTCATGCGAGGTCTACTCTCTGGGCTGCAAGATCATTCAAATGTCACCTGACCCGCCCATCTCCATGCCAGGATGGAGGCCTGGGGCCATCCTGAGGCCAGGTGTCCATTTTGGAGAAGAAATTGGATGTCAGATACCCATCTCCAGCTACAAGAATGATGTAGCTGGAATTGATCAAATTTCTAGGGCAGTACCACTGGGGGATGTCAATGGGACAAATTCTCCTGTTGACTTCCCTTATGTCTTGTGACTTCACGGCATACCAGTGGTCACAGGGGCCCCTCAGCATTTAAAGGAGCAGGTCCTTTCTAGATCAGCGAAGTTGCACCCCAGAAGATCAACTTGCATCGTGTCGATCTTCTTGGAAGTGGAGACCAGGCCTGAGTACGTCATGGTGATCGGGCGCTTGTCCCCTGCACTTTTGCTCGCAGGTGGCTGGTCTACAAATGTCTGGAAGCCAGATACCTGTTCTCACTCCCTCCCTCTGATTTTGCAGGGAGACTCTGGAAGCCCGCTGGTTTGCAAGAAGAAGGCTCAAGGCATTGTCTCCTATGGAAATAGCAGGCCATTGCCTCCTCGGGTATTCACCAGAATTGCCAGCTTCTTGCCCTGGATACAGGAGACTCTAGAGCAATTTCAGCCTTGAGGGAGAGTCCACTTGTACCTCACTTGTACCTTCTAGCTGTTGGTTCTTCCCTCCCCATCCTCACCCTTCTCTCCACCCACCCCTCTCTCTCCATAGACACGCCTCCCTCTGCCTGCGATGACACCCATCCCCAACCCACTGCCGTTATCCACCTACCTCCTGGTAGGGCTACCCATTGCTCTGGTATTGCAGCTCCCTTCATGCCTTTGCCTCCACTATGTGCGCTTGTTAATTTCGTTCCCTGCTGGTATTAAGACTTTACTGGCGTTGAGCTTGTGTGGGTGTTGAATTATCTCTGGTACCTTTGCAGCTGGCTCCCTCTGACGTACACAGCCGGGCTGGGCTCTTCAAAGGCACTGGCAGGTGTGTGGTGTTGAAACACCGAAGACCAGTGTTTCTTAAACTTTTTAAGGCCCCTAGTGATCTCACGCTGCGGCAGGTACGACCCCATCCCATCCCCCTCCCCCAGTGACCTCATACTGCTGCAGGTACCGCCCCCATCCCATCCCCCACCCCCAGTGACC